CTCAGCCCAGTCAGCGATTCTCCCACGTTGACACCTCATCCCCAAGATGATAATAATACAGACAGCAAAGCAAAATAAACAAATTAGTTGTAATGAGATGGGGCAGTCTGGGCACTAGGGCGTCTCAAGAGTAAGTGTAGTCATCAGCATTTGGTCAGCTTTTCCATGGCTTTTCACTTTCACAGGCCGGCGAAAATCTTCGACCCACTTGGATTCTTGATTACCACTGCGACAGAGGCCTGCTTTCATTTTCATTGAGCAAAAAGCGAAACAGAAACGGAAAAATAGTGGAAGTGGATCTGGTGACAGATACGCCAACGGAGGAGAGACACGAAAAACAAAAAATATATATGAAAAACACCTGGTCTGGCTGGCCTGTACAGGTTGCTTAACCCAATTTTCAACGATATCTGTTCAGGCTTGTGGGCTAAGCCAACTACGCAACTGTATTGCTTTTTTGCAAAAATACTGAAAATAAAACCAACTGCTGGACGAATGCATTGAGGTGGCCTAAACGCACTTCAGAAAAAAAAAACCAGACTTTACTAAAGTAAAGCAATGCTGCGGTATGAATTGCACCTGTCAGTGGATATCTGCAAAAATGAATGTTGAATTGCACTTCAACTCACACACAACAAAAGTGGGTAATATCAGGCAATACCCATTAAGTGCAGACAGAAAAAACCTCTCGAATTAACTCAATTACAAGGCAGCCTGAACCACATAATTTGAGTTACTTGAAAAACAGTTAAGTAGCTTAAGCATTAGTGTTACTGCTACTAATGTTTGATTTGATACTTTAAATTGTCTTATTACTTGTTTAAATTTTCATTTAAACAATTCAAAGACTCTCTATGCAGTATAAATAAATTATATAAGCAGACAATTTATTTATAGAATATCATATAACCATATTTGATTAATGTTTTAATTCTGCTCTCTCTAATCTGGCCTCAAACTCATCTCTCATACACACACAAAGATTAAAACTGGCTTTAATATACTTTGCTATTTTTAAATAATACATCAGCTTTCCTATGAACCCATCATACCCAAAAGAAAAAAAAAAAAAAACCCCAAAACGTTTAAATTTTAGAAATGTTTGTGGTCGCTGCCCAGACACGCGTCGTATAATTTAATTTAAGGCCTGTCTGACTGCCATATTAAGCTTACATAAATTGGTTTTTGGCACAAAACAACAACAAAAAAAATAGCAACTCAAAATGTGTACAATGTTTGCGATATTTGCCAAATTGATAGCTTTTGTTTATAATTTTAAGCAAACATCAGTGCAAATTCTGAACAAATAATGCAAATGTTTAAATGGGAAAACCCTTCCGCCGCAGGCGAAATGAGCCCACCCAAAAAATAAAATGAATTGAAGCTTCATAAATCAAAGATTAAACGCTTAATTAATCTTGCTCACTCCCAAAGCGCCGCAGAATATGTAATAAATGAAGAGGCCAAGTTTAAAATGAGCGTAAAATAAATAAATTAAAATCCAGAAGACTGCACCGATGATGTCATGAAGCTCAGAGAAAGGGGAAAAACCAACAAAGCGTTTAATACTTAGATAAACAAAACTAAAAATGGCAAAGCATGAAAAACACTTGTATAATAAGCAAGATAATAACAATAACGTCATCATCATAATTATTATTATTATTTATAGTTCTTTCTCATATCAATGCAGAGTCTCGTTTCCCACCAAACGACGATGAGTATCTTCTATCCAGCTGGAGGTCACATTTTTATCTTTCGGATCTCTCGTGATCATCCATTGAAATATCAACGTGACACAAAGCTCAAGTCAGCTCAACTCATTTACAGTTATTTGCAAATGATTATTGTGCATCTATAAAGCTAGTATAGGTAAGTATCTATAGGTTGGATAACTAGACAGAACGTGTGCGATGTAGTATCTGCCACCTTTTTGAGTTGTATAAGCGAGTCAGGAGTGACACGTCAAAGCGATTGCATAATGCGAAGGTTTTGTAATGTAAATTGCAAGGGAAACGAGAATTTCATGTGTAATCAGTGGAAAGCAGCACAAAAATAAAAAAATATGAAAATATTGACAGGGAACATATATAGTATTGTAAATGGGGCGTTGTGAAGGTGACATGAAAGTGACAATATCAGATTAATAGGCTTGCGTTAATCTCAAAAATCAGTGAACAATTGTATATTAAATGGGGAAGAGCAATGGTTTAATAGTTTTCTATGTATCTGTTGTATTTTCTCATTTAAATCATTTAACTAAAGACATAACAAAGGGGTTTAAATGATTTATAAACATTTTAACACCACTTTTCAAATACCCATAGGTTAGTACATTTTAATAGGTTTATTTAATATTGAATGAAGTAGTTATAATTAACTATGATCAGTAAGTATCTATCACCAGTAAGTATCTAAATGACCAGTAATTAACTATGATCAGTAAGTTAAGTTATGTTAAGTTAAGTTAAGTTAAGTTATGATCAATAAGTATCTATGACCAGTAAGTATCTATGACCAGTAAGTAAGTATGTATGATCAGTTACTAACTTTGAAAACTTTTCAGTTTTTAACAGATTTTCATCAAGTTTGATATATAATTAATCTAGAATTTTGTGTAAAATTTTATGAAAATCGGTCTTCTATATCATATAGCTGCCATACAAAAGATCGCTCTCTGTTTACAATTCATCTTTAATATCTCGAATTGTCTAAAGCAAACTTCCCTTTAAATATTCTCACATAAACAGCCTCTTAAATCTCAAGATCATCATGTAACCCCAAAGGAGTTAAATGAGTTGTCATTTACATACTTACATACTTACACTCTCTATGCAGGCTTGGTGGAGTACAAGAAACAAGGCCACGGAGTTGGCATCTGTTTTTGCGGGATTTTATTTAGTACTTATTGTGATAGGAAACTTTGATTTAACACACAATAGCCAAAGGTTGGATTTAAACTCAAATTTAATTAGAAACTTATAGTTTCAAGAAGAAGAACAAAAACAATTGTGTTTGCTACGGTGCTTAAGTACACTGGTTGAGAAGCGCAGAGGAGGGCACTTTTCTGAGAGATAGTGAATGCGCGGAAAGAATTATTTTTGAGAGAGAGTAAAAGAGAGGCAAACAAAATTTTGTTTTTGAGAAGCGTAGGAAAGCTCTCATTGTTTATTTTGGAATAATGAGAATTTGAGTTAGTAAAAAAATATGTGATAAATCCGTAAAATTCACCAAAAATATAACATACTAACCCTTGGATTTTGTTCTTTTTTAACTATCTATAACCAGTAATTAACTCTGAACACTACGTATCTTTGACCAGTAAGTAACTCTGAAAAGTAAGTATCTATGACCAGTAAGTATTGATGAACAGTTACTAACTTTGAACAGTAATAAACAATGACTTGCAAATTTTTTAACACAACACATGTCTGATACTTGGCCGGCAGAAGTCACTTCGTTCCGGGGATGTGAGAACTAGTTGGGAATCATATGCACAGATGTGCGAGATTTGTTTTGGAACAAATTTAAGAGCAAGCTATTTGAACTAGGGAGTTATTCTTCTATATAATTTTACTTGTATATAAATTGGAGCATGCCGAATCGGTGGACTATATATGTATATACGTATGTATATATAGCTGCCATAGGAACGATCGGACGATTTATAGAACTATGATCACTGATTACCTATAACCAGTAATTATCTATGTCCAGTAATTAACTATGAACATTAAGTAACTCTGAACAGTAAGTATCTATGACCAGTAAGTAAGTATGATCAGTAAGTATCTATGACCAGTGAGTAACTATGATCAGTAAGTATGTATGAACAGTAAGTATGTATGAACAGTTACTAACTTTGAACACTAATAAACAATGACTTGCAACTTTTGTAACAACACATTTCTGAAACTTGGCCGGCAGAAGTCACTTCGTTCCGGGGATGTTAGAACATGTTGGGAATCATAAGTTCACGTGCACGATATTTGTTTCGGAACAAGAGCAAGCTATTTGAATGAAACTATGGACTTCTTCTTCCATATAATTTTACTGGTATTAAGTCGGAGCATGGCGGATCGGTGGACTATATATATTCCCAGCTGCCATAGGAACGATTGGAAAATTGTAAGAAAAAGAATTATAACTGTTCCAATTTTCAACAATTTCATCAAATTTAATATATAGCCATTATTTATTAATCTAGAATTTTGTGTAAAATTTTATGAAAATCTGACTATTATATCATATAGCTGCCATACAAACGATTAAAGCCGACATTACTTTATTGTTTTTAACATAAATATATATAATTTATATTGTTTTTATTCCTAGTGATCGAATTTCAATCTGCAAAGGTATACAAACTTCTTCGTGCCGAAGTTGGCTTCCTTTATTGTTTTAAACCATTTTTAATATATTTTAAGTCCAAATACAAAACAAACTTCCTACACTCCCACAAGCACTATCTTTTTCTTATTCAAAAACCACTTCCTTCCAACTGGTTCACACAATTTTCATAACAAACCACTTACATAAATCAAAGTGGCCCCTTTTTTGGTTTGAACAAAATTCTGCTACTACTCAATATGCAATTTAAAAATTCTCAGAATTTTCTACTCAGCCAGGTAGAAGCCAAAAACCAAAACTGCTAAGCAGCAGCAAAAATCTAAAAACAAAGAGCCACAAACAAAAAAAAAAACGTTGAAGCATCGTAAATTATGTCAGAGTGTTAAACTACAATTAGAACTCCCAGAGAGACGTGTGCAGACTCATTTGAGGATTTTTAACGAGTTTCCAACCCATTGCCGGCTAATTATTATTAGAGCCATAAACGGAATTCAAGATCTTGTGACTTGAAATCGCAATGATAATGGAAATGAGCACCACATAAAATGACGCAATGAAACTTTCAAGTCTCAGGCCCAAATTACCCGAATGCGGAATTGGGTTAAGCACGGAGACAAGTCAAATGATTCTTATTTTATTTGGGAACTCACCGTTTCCGGTCGATGAAGTAGAAGAAGAAGTCACAGGAGGGGAATCAACTGCAAAGAATAAATAAATATTAATTTAATACAAATTAGTTTTGCAAAGACTAGGAATTAATATTAACTGCGGCGACTGGTACTGAATAGATTTATCTGGGAGAAATTGCGCATTGTGTAAGGCGAAAAAAAAAGCAGCGGAAGCCTAGATATAAAATGAACTCAGCTGCTCTATACTATATAGTTATATATTCTCGGTGTTATATTATATTTTCCCGGGCAGCAAACTCAAATCAAATGACGACAATCTCTAGACAAGTTCAAGGTGAAGCCGTCGTCTGCCTCGTTTTTCATTTGTTATTTTTTTGTTCAATTTCAATTAAATTCACGGAAAATTTAAGAGTTCGCTGGGAGCAAAATTGAATCGTTTGCGCTCCGTTGGGCTGACCTACCGCAGTCATAACCCGCCCCAAGTTCCCCCCTTCATATTGCAATCTTCTCTGGGTATTAAATTTCCAACTCATTAAAATTTTGCACACTGTCTGGATGGAGTGGCAGAGGATTGGACAGAGTGACTGAATATGGTTAAGGGTTGTCCTTGTCCCTTGGCTCCCTCTGTTTGCCATTGCGCTTTTCTCCACTGGGGAAGAATGGGAGGAAAAAAAGCCAACGGAGATGTGAAGGCTTGTCATTCATAAATGAAGTGCATAAAAATGCCTTCAACTGATGAGAGAAACGTGCAGATGGACATATTTATAAAGAGACAGGAGCCTAGAGATGGGCAGATATATAGGAAAAAGTATTCAAGCATTTATTAAAGGATACATTACAACAATCGATCATTTTAAGAAAATTTCAAAATTTATATAGAGTAATGAACTTTGTAGTCGGATTATACTTTGTTCATTTCCGGTTTCTATACTACGTTCTAAAATTTGTATATCGATATAAATAAATATCACACTTCTCTTACTCTCATCAAGTACTTGGTAAAATATAAATGTGTGGATCTTTCTCAATCAAAGATTAAAGTATTTAATTCATAAATCTTATGTCTTCCCATCCATAGCTCTTCTTCTCTTTCTCTTTAAGCTATAACTCTCTTTTCATGGCATCCAATTATTCATGTCTGAACTTAATCAGAACCTTTTGACTTATCAATTAGGAATTCTAGGGTGATTCACTTGCCGCTTTAATTGATATCAATTGTTCAGGTTCCGGAAGGTCGCCCGGCAACGGAAGTACAATTTATTTACAGAATCTTATCTTATCCGCTCACAATCTGCGTCATATATAGTACTTTATATATTCCAAGTGTATATATTGTAAATTTGTGGTGAGCCGCTAAAATCGAGAGCTTGCGTCAGTTCAACCCACTCAACCCACGCGGAGTAAATAATAAACAATGAAACGAATACGATTCCAAATTCGAAAACCAAATTGCGCCAAATTGAGCGTCAAGTGAATGAGGTAGAGATACTTTGAGTAGAAAAAGCTCATAATTGGACGAGGTTCCTATACAAAAAGGTCAGCCAAGCAATTGGCAAAACACTCGAACTCAACAAAACAAAATAAAATAAAAAACAAGCGAGCTAAGAAAACAAACTGTTGAAAAATAAAAACAAAAAGCTAATGACAAAGCGAAGCAATAAAAATTAGAAGTTTGTGGCAAGATTAAATGTTGTCTTGAGTGTGTGCCCTAAGGCAAAAAGGGTATAACCAGATTTCTCAGGAAGTTCGCAATGAGGAAGAAAAGATTTGCCGGAAAGTACAGATTATACTTAAACTAAGTTGGGAAAACTAAATCAGGAAGAGTTTGTAGCTTAATATATTGAAATACTGTAAGAGACTAACTTTCTTAAGTGAGTTATAATTGAGTTGCCAGAGAATTAACCTATTATATTAAATTATGTATTTATTAGAGAGTGCTATGTTTTACTGAAGGTTATCTATAATATCATAGTTTAAATCTAGATTAATTTGGTATTGTTTGTAGAGATATTAGTCTTAATTTCTACTTATTTAAACAAGCAAATAGCAATAGATTAATAATTGTTTAAGAAATATTTTCTTTAAGGTTAAGAAACTTCCTAGAGAGTGTATTCCAAATGCTTGTTCTATAAAGATCTCCTTATTTTCCGTTTTCCTTTTCTTCAGTTAGTTTTTCTCAGGTTTTTCCAAGCCATTCTACTTGTTTCGCTTGGTTTTTGTGTTTTTCTTCTAATTTTTTTTGGAACCACGACAGCTACGACTCCGAGGACAAGCCCTTTTTTGCTGTTGTGCGTTTGTTCGGCTTGTTCTTCTGGGGCGTTTCAACAGATTGGGGTGGGAAAACATTTAACTTGGCTAAAAGCGGCATTAGTGCGATGTATGGGGCGTGTTCCGGCCCCGAAGGGAAGGAAAGGCGGCCAATTAATTTTTTAATGGCTTAGACGAAATGACTGACTTTGGGGTTATTACAAAAGGAAGAGAGCGAGGCGGAAAAAGTTCTTCTTTCGACGGTTTTGGAAATTGTCAATTAGCAAAGTGCCTGCCAAGAATTGGCAATTTTTAAACTCCTTCGAGCCACGCCCATTCTTCGGCATCATGGAATCTGTAATTGACTGGGACTTACATTTTTATGATGTTTAATCTAATTTTTGTTTAACGATCTGGGCATTTTTTATGCCGGTCGTTTGCCTAACGACCCGAGCTCACTAAAATAAGTTAAGCGCAAAAAAGATTTTGCCCCTGGGCTTGGTCAGCTAGGATTTGTGTGGTAGGTACAAAATGTATTATATTTTCTTTTTTTTATACTTTTATTTATTTAAGAGCGGTGCACCACCGGGCAGCGGCAGCGGCAGCGGCGGCGACGTCTCTGACCAGAGCAATTTGTTTTGATTGAATGAAATATCAAAAACGTGACCTGGCCCCGTGCACTTTGAGCAAACCACCAGCAAACCGAAGGCAAAAGAAACCAATATACTATATATATAATTCAGGTAATAATTCAGGTTGAGAGACAGGTATATATGCAGAGAGAGAGATAGATGGATGGAAATGCAGAGTAAAATTCACAGACTAAATGAAATGTATGCAAATTGAGCGTGAATAACCGCTTTAACCTCCGAGCACGTGCAAGTGATTGAACTGATGCCAACGCAGGGTTAGAGAGTTTAGAAAGAGAGGGGTATAAATGGGCTAGAAAGAGAGGGGTAAAGTGGTTAGAAAGAGAGGGTGGAGAGCCAAAGAGGCATAGATAATTTCCCATCTATCTGTTTCAGAGCGATGTTCATTGCCCGATAAGTACTCAATGATTAGTAATCGAAATGTTTCTCAATAACTCATTCACTCACTCTCACACTCACACTCACCATAGCTATCTCTGTCTAAGACTCTGTGTAGCTCTCTCACTCTTTCGCACATAATCGTGTTCAAGTGGCCAGTTAATCCTGCAGCTTCCTGTGGCAAGGAGTGTGAGTGTGTTCTTGTGCTCGCTTTGAATACTTCATCATATTCATGACTTTTACATGCATTGCACTTCCGTGAGTGGCTTCTGCTTATCAACGAGGGTTGTAAGAGAACTTATTCTTAGCTTATAATATATATACTTATCATCTTTATTAAAGAGATTTCATTTTAACATAAAAGTAAAGGTTTTAAGTTTTAAACCATCAATAAATCAAGATTTAAAGTGACAAAAACAAGCCATAAATGTCCTATTAAAACAATGAACACAAAGTAAATGCTGTCTCCCCCTTTTAAGATCTGATTTTTCACTCTTCGCTATTAATCTCTTCCCCCCCAATAAAATATCTATTAAAATGCACCCACTCAAAACCCAATTTATCTTACCACGATTCACATCGCTGCTCAACAATCTTTCTGTCGTGTTTATCGACGATAATCTACATCCTTTGGCTGTCCACAGGTTATGCCAAACACTTGGCGAAATTTATTCATCTCCAACGATGATAACTTCATCGAACCTCCCACGCAGCCTCCGTCCAGGCCTGGTCGTTCCACCAGCCGAGTCGATCTAGCCATGTCCGTCTGTCCGTCTGTCCGTCTGTCCGTCTGTCCGTCTGTCCTTCTGTCCGTCTGTCCGTCTGTCCGTTTCTACGCAAACTAGTCTCTCAGTTTTGAAGCTATCTGAATGAAACTTTGTAGTTAGCCTTCTATATACTCTCACTCGTATATATGTCGGAACGGGCCGGATCGGACGACTATATCATATAGCTGCCATAGGAATGATCGGAAAATTTTTACAAAAAATTTTTAACTTTTTCAGTTTTCAATAGAATTGGATCAAATTTGAGATATAGCCATTTTACTATACTCTACAATTTTGCATAAAATTTTATGAAAATCGGACTACTATATCATATAGCTCCCATAGGAACGATCGAGAAATGAATACAATTAGATTTATAACCTTTTTAGTTTTCAACTGATTTTCATCAAATTTTAGGTATAGGCATTTTATATTAGTCTTAAATTTTGTGTCAAATTTCATGAAAATCGGACTATTATATCATATAGGTGCCATACAAACGATCGCTTGATGTAGAGGAAAAATGCAAATCTTTGAATGTAAAACTGCAAATATAATATGTATAGGTGAATACAATGAAAGCAGGTATTACTTCATTGTTTTTTAACACAAATATATATCATTTATATTGTATGGTTTTTTATTCATAGAAGTTCTATCTGCAAGGGTATATAAACTTCGGCGTGCCGAAGTTAGCTTCCTTTCTTGTTTCTCCTTATTTTCGCTAAGCTCTTATGGAATGCTTTTGCCAACGCCATAACTTAACCCAAAACACCCGCTACATCGCTCCCCCTTTAAGGTCTGACCCATCTGTGTTGGCCACATTGTTTGGTTCTCTAGCGCGGTTTTTTCTTAACGTTATTTGATGCACAAAAAAAAATTATTTAGTTAAGTCCAAGTGAAAATATTTGTTGGTAGTATAAAACTATCTTTGAAACTATAAAGATATTTCCTTAAAGACTCTTAACTTAAAATTACTTTGTATAATTCCTAAATAAATATAAACAAGTTTAGCTAATATTTACTA